TAAATGGCATTCATAATTTGTAATCATAATCACCTTGTATCATGTATCACCTTGGGAAGAAACATCAAACTTCTCTCAAAACACACAGACTGAAGTCAGCAAGCACATAGAAGAGACTTATAAATGTTTTGGACACAATACCAGGTAACAAGTATTATGTAAATACCATGGTACATAAATATGATAATTGTGCTTTTTAGTAAGGGGAGTCAAAGGCAAGGGTAACACTTTAGAACAGGGAACACTTATTCACTATTAACTTTTCCCTCAATAAATTCCTAATTTGCTGCTTATTAATAGTTAGTAAGTTAGTTGTTAAGTTTAGGTATTGGGTAGGATTAGGGATGTAGAATAAGGTCATGTAGAATAAGGCATTAATATGTGTTTAATTAGTACTAATAAATGGCTAATATTCTAGCAATATGCATGCTAATAAGCAACTAGTTGAAAGACCCTAAAATAAAGTGTTACCAAGGCAAGATATCACTGAATTGGTACAGTAATATTTTTGTGCCTGTCATCCGTTTTAGTTCTCTCTCACTTCACGCTGTCCCTCGCTCGAGCAGTTTTGGCACAGACAGAGCCTGAGAGACATGCCTCAGCGGCGCCCAGTCTGAACATGAAAGCTTTTGGAGTTGAGAGAGTGTTTGTGCCGTGTATTAGGTGACAAGAGAGAGAATCTGCTGAATGAAATGAGAAACATACTGCCACTGTTTTTGTTTATCATTGTGCAACTATTTTCATATTAAGTAATGGGCTGAAAAATGATCTTAATCTACAGTATGAACAATATACACTGGCCAATTTAGTTTCCATGTCTAAATTTGCCATCTTCATGATGTTACATTCAAAGGAGACATACAGTGCCTTGCGAAAATATTCATACCTCTTCATTTTTTTCACATTTTGTTAAGTTGCTGCCTTATGCTAAACTGCTTTAAATTACTTTTTTCCCACATCAAGCTACACTCCATACACCATAATGGTAAAGCAAAAAACAGGTTTTTAACATCTTTGCAAATTTATTAAAAATAAAAAACTTAAATGATTCCATTGCATAAGTA